AAGAATTGGCAGTTGAAGCTCACCAGTTGCTCCTTGGAAACCTTGCAAAGGGTAGCTATGGGCAGGAACTGACTCAACCGCACTTAACAACTATAATACCATACATCAGTGCATATAATGATACGTTATGTAGAAAATGAAGAAACCAGTACTGCTGAGTGGATAACAACTCATAGGGACCATCGACGAAAACAGGAAGTCAAATTGGATGTGATTTAACAATAAATAGAATCAAAGTTTCATATTCCTGACCCCAGAAATGACATAGTGATCATTCTATTTCCCTTTGCTCTAGTCGGATTCCAACATTGGGAATTTCTAAGTTGTAATTTCTTGTGTACTAAATCTGTGTAATTTTGGCATGCCAAAGTGAAAGGTTGAGAAAAAAGAGAAAAAAGATAGAGTGAGTGTAAATTTTGCTTTGTTTTGTTTTTTTACCTGTAGAGAAAAAGTTGTAGAAATTCCCAAAATAGTGATTGATAACAGAGCAAGCTGATTGCAGGAGGGTTCCCCAGGAGGATCCGAACCCCATAGAGGGGAGAAGGAAGGGACAGGTGGACAGAAGGGTCTTTGGTGTAAAAAGCTCCAATCAAAGAAAAAAAAGACCATGAAGCCATGTCTATCTGGGCATACCTGCTAAATCAGTAGCTGGAGTGGTTTTTGTAGCAGTGATTTGTACTAGGAATTCCTGGGTAATGCAAAGGGTTAATACACTCAGTCATAAACACAAGGTGAGAGGTTTGAGTCCACCCAAAGGCTCCCCAAAGATCATCTTTATGATCTGCTTTAAAAAAACTCAGCCTTTGAAATGCGTATGGATCACAGTTCTACTGAGCCAACATGGGGCTCCACCAGTGTAGCAACTGGAGACTTTGTATGTTCTTGTTCTGAGACTGTGGGTGTTTGTTAATTTGATATTTAAAAGATTAAAATGTGCTAAGATATTTTAGCTGGGAACTTGGTGGCTCTGTCGGATAGGCACTTGACTGCAAATCACAAGATCGGCAGTTTGAACACACCAGCCAATCAGCAGGAGAAAAACGAGGCTGTGTGAACAATCCTTAGGACTCAGTAGGGCATATTATATTAGAGTTTAAAACACATTGCATATATCTCAGTGTGCATTGAGATGACCCTTCCTTCCTCTGTCCTGCTAGAAGGAATTGTCTCCTGCTAGCAAAACATCTACTGCATGATCCTTTTTCCTCTGGTCACTGCTGACCTGCCTAGCAATGGACACCTGATGCAATCTAGCCCAATCAGATTCTCTCACCCAGAAATCTGGAGTTGAGATTGGTTAAGCATAAAGTCAGTTTCTGTGTAGCTGATTTGGGCTCTTGGGGTAGTCAGGTTTGGCATTGAAAACCAGCAGAGAAAGGGAATAAAGCAAATGCCTAGAGTGAGAAGGACAGGGAGTAAATTTCAGTCACATTACATATGAGTTTCCGTTTGTGGTTTCTGATCCTTCCTGAGTCTGTCCTCATCTTTCAGTAGTGCTCTAATCTCTGACACTACATTCATCTATTATACTTGCCATGTAATTCCTAATTAATTTAGCACTAAAGAAAACCCTGGAATCTTGAAAAGAGAGTCTCATGGAATATATTTCGTAATACTTGTGTATTATGCAGAACTTTAGGGCTAATTTATATGAAAGTGATGACAGGACTTTTTTTAATGAGAATAAGCTTGTTATTAAGAAAGAATTTGATGGCCTAACAATAATTTGTCCATGAATGAAAGAAAAATTCATTCGACTCAAAATGAATATCACGGTGAAATTATATGTCATCTATGTAGACAAGTCAAAGAATTTCTAGACAATCTCACAAAAGGGAGATTTAAAATATATTCCATATTATAATGCTGTTGTTGTTGTTAAGTGACATCAAGTTGGTCCCAACCCATAGCGACCCTGTATAGGGCTTTCAAGGAACAGCTAGTGAGCTTGAACCACCGATCTTGTGGTTCGAACAAACTTTACAGTCCAGCACATTAACCCACAGCACCACACCAGGACTCCAAATACTATACTATCTCTCTCATAATTCAGGAGGGACCAGTCTCTCAAGAAGAACATCATGCTTGGGAAAGAGGAGGGTCAGTGAAACAGAGGAAGACCCCCAATGAGGTGGATTGGCTCAGTGGCAGCAGCAATGGGCTCAAGCTTAACAACAATTGTGAGATTGGCACAGGACCAGGCAGGGTTTAGTTCTATTGTGCATGAGGTCATTAAGAGTCCGAAGTAACAACACCACCAGCAAATACATGTGCATTTATTATACAATTATATCTACATATAAATACTAAAGTATGCAAAAAGTATTGCTTCTAGGGTTCTAGTTCACACATATATAGACTTATTACAAACAAAATGTGTTTAAACATGACTCTGTGATTAGTAGATGGCTACAGACAACTTGTCTCAGCAATATACTTGTCTTAGTTTTATTAGGGCGCCTTCAAAAAAAAAGAGAAAGGTCCAATTGAAACAGTGATTTCTGAGGGAATCTTCTGGACCATCTAAATTCAAGGCACTATTTCATGGAGCTCCAAAGGGGTCATCTGGATAGATGTTCTTGAAGGACATGGGATGACCACAGGGACTTTTTATGAAGACATTTGGGGAACTACATTTGTGAGAAGACCAGGAAATTTGCACTGATGAATTTTTTCCATCAAAACAATGCACTTGCTCATTTTTCGATAATAGCAAGAACTGTCCTACAAGAATTTCATTGGAAAACCTTACACCATCCACCCTTCAGTCTTGAGCTTACCCCTTCTCACTTTTTTTCCCTCTAGAACTCACAGAACATTGAAAAAGAATACAATTTGAGTCCCTCAAAAATGCTAAAACTATCATTTTGATGTGGTGTAAATCAAAGAACATAGAATTCTTCAAAGAACTGTTGCCGTGGAGTCAGTTCCGACCCATAGCGACCCTGTACAGGGTTTCCGAGGCTGTAAATCTTGACAGGAGCAGAAAGCCTCATCTTTCTCCCACAGAACAGCTGGTAGTTTCGAACTGCTGACCGTGAAATTAGCAGCCCCATTTGTAACCACTACGCTACCAGAGCTCCTTTTCAAAACTATTAGAGAGACGGAAAACTCACTTTCAGGAGTACATAGGCCTAGATGAAGGAGATGTCAAGAAACAGTAGCTTCACAATTTGATACTTTTGTTTAATAAAAGTTTCTATTAATTTATAGCAATACTTTTACTTACCCTCATAAGTTCCTTTCATTGTTTTCCCAAGACCAAGGATATACTGCCAACTTAAATTCCGTAGCTGCAAATCCCAGATCTACATGAGATGAGCATACTTGTTCTTTTTTTGCAGCCTGGAGACGAAATTTATCCTAAAGATGAGAATGGTAAATGGTTATATCACAAGGCTAACCTGTGCGCCACGTGGGAGGTAAGTCCAGTTGGGCCTCATATTTTAAAAGACTACGTTTTAAAACTCTGATCTGATTATTCCCAACAAATTTATGCAGACATGCGGCTTTAACTCTCAATGGAAAGCAGCGGTCAGAGCTGACATTTCTAACAATCTATAACAATTTAACACCCAGCTCCGACGCTGGGTGTTAAAGAATTCTTGTTTTCTTGGGAGAACTATAACACCAAGGGAAAGTGGGGAAGTGGAATGGAAGGGGTAAAAAGTAAAGGAAATGAGTTCTAATATAATAGTTATTACAAAAAAATATAAAGAAGGTAAATACACGTATTTTTTTAACGTTCTTAATTTAAAAAATGATTTTGATGCATAAAAAGTTGGAAAATAATTCTGATTCCGTTATGTGTTTTTTTTACCAAGTTTCTGAACTAGTCTGATTGCAGGCTCCTTCCTTAAGATGACGGGAGTGGAAAAATGAGGGAAAACAAGAACACTTCTAGGTATTCAAGGGCGAGGTGTCTTCTGAACTGGTTTGTTTATGAGGGAGTGGGTCAGCTTTAACCTAGAGTGGAAGTCAGGCATACCTCAACCGTCAATGAGAGGGTAAGATGGAAAGATAATTAGAGAGTCCAGTTTACTTCTTTCTCCTCTCCTGCCATAGCCTTGGAACAAATATTGCCTGCTCCACACATTCAGAAACTTAGAACTCTTGTCCAGTTGTCTCTGGAGTCATATCTAAGCAGCGCTGAAATCCTGTACTTACGAGACTTTGAGAAGAATATGGGTTACTTTATGCCTTCCAGAACTTGTTTCTCCACACTTCCCAATCCACATTCCAAAGGCTAGAAAATGACACTTTAATGCTTGCCTCTTCCTCATATCCTCTCCCCAGTACCTGAGGATCTGAGTTGTGGAGTTGTTTTGTGGGGTGAGAACTAAAAGTTTTTCTTACTATGTTAAAGAATATTTTAAAAAGAGCCTGTTGTTGTTAAGTGCCATCGAGTTGGTTCCAACCTATAGACACACTGTATAGGGTTTCCAAGGAGCGGCTGGTGACCTTGTGGTTCAAACCAACTTTGCAGTCTAGCGCATTAGGGCCACACCAGGACTCCTAAAAAGACATTAGTAAAGATTTACACCCTCGGAAACCCTGTACAGGGTCGCTATGAGTCGGTTCCGACTCCACGGCACATAACAACAACAACAACAATGTGAAGTAAGAACAAGAAAATGTTTTAAAAGCAAGTAAAAATATTAAATTAGGAAAATGAATAGCACAATCTAGTTGCTGTTAGGTGCCACCAAGTAAGTACCTACTTATAGCAACCCTATGCACAAGAGACCAAAACACTGCCCAGTCCTGTGCCAACCTCATAGCTGTTGCTACATTTGAGCCCATTGCTAAATCCATCTCATTGGGGGTCTTCCTCTTTTTTTGCTGGCCTTCCACTTTACCAAGCATGATGTCCTCCTCTAGGGTATGTCTGGTCCCTCCTGACCATATGTCTAAAGTATGAGAAACAAGCTCTGAATATTCTGGCTTCCAAGGAACATTCTGGCTGTTCTTCTGACACAGACTGTTTTGTTCTTTTGGAGGGTCATGGTACTTTCAATATTCTCCTCCAACACCATAACTCAAATGCATCAATTCTTCTATGGTCTTCCTTATTCACTGTCCAACTTTCACACGCATATGAGGTTATTGGAAATTCCATGGCTCGGGTCAGGCACACCTCAGACCTCAAACTGACATCTTTGCACTTTAAAGAGGTCTTGTGCCGCAGATTTGCCTAATGCAATAATCTATACAGTCCAGTTAGAAGACAGAATTTGTAAGAATGAATAAAAAGCAAAACCACGAAAACACAAAACAAAACACCACTATAGCCTACATAGAAGAAACCTAGCGTAGTGGTTACGAATCGGGCTGTGAACCGGAAGGTCAGCAGTTCAAAACTACCAGCTGCTCCGCGGGAGAAAGATGAGGCGATCTGCTCCCGTAAAGATTTACAGCCTCGGAAACCCTATTCAGGGTCACTATGGGTCGGAACCGACTCGACGGCACTTAACAACAACATTAAAAGTAAAAGTTTTAGGGATTTTTGTTGTTGTTGTCATTGTTGTTGTTTTTTTAAGTTAAAGATTCAAAATAGATAAACTAAGCTAACCCTAACTAAGAGAATGTGGAGTCATTACTTTAATATAAAGAAAGATTTCAGACAGCAGAATATTACCAGAGATAAAAGTTAGTTTGTAATGATAAAGGAATTAATCTTAAATATCTCAGTACCTGCCTTTTATTAATTTATAGTATGTAATAACAGAACTTCAAATTGCATGAAGTATAAAAGGAAGAACTCAAAAGAAAAGGAGAAAAATCTACAATTATATTCAGTATTTCAAAACCACTCTCTCAATAATTAATTAAGAAAATAAGCAGGCATAAAATCACTAGGATATAGGAGATTTGAATGTTGTCAAACAAATTAGTCTACTTGACATTTATAGAGCACTCTCCACCAAAGCAAAATGCAATTAAGTGCTTATGGGCTATTTACCAAACTGTATCATTTTCTGAGCTATAAAACAAGTCTAAGTAAATTTTTATTATTCAAATGATTTAAGGTAGGTTCACAAACAAAATAGAGTCAAATTTATCTATTGGTGGCAAAAGAGATCTAAATATCACCCAATATTTGGAAACAAATTTAAAAAAAACACATGTTAATAACCCATAAGACAAAGAAGAAATGAGGAATTTAGAAAATTTTTTGAACTAAATGACATACTAAAATGTGTGGGTTATAGCTAAAGCAGAAAATTTATAGTATTAAAATTTTATATTAAAAAAAAGAGCTCGTTCTCAAATCAATGTTATTTGTGTTCACCCTGTTAAGAGTTATTACACCCCAGAAACTGACAAACATTATAAATTGGGACCTTTTGTTTTTTCACATGCACACACAAAGAGCTAGTTATTAACCATTTATCAGCACACTACCAAGTGTCTTCCTGATTTTTACTGTGGGGAAGGCTTCATAGGTGTGTCTGTAATGCAAAAGTCATCGAAATGTACAATTTCAAAAATGTCGAGTTTATTATGCATCGATTATAACTCAGTAAAACTGTAAAGGAGTCCTGGTGTGACGCTGTAAGTCAATGCGCCAGACCGCAAAGCTGTTTGAACCACAAGCTTGGTGGTTCAAGCTCATCAGCTGCTCCTCAGAAACCCTATACAGAGTCGCTATGGGTTGGAACCAACTCGATAGCACATAACAACAACCACCAAGCTGTAAAACAATACAACTTAAAGCTTCCAGTGAGAAAAAGCTAATCACATTAAATGAGACATACAAGTTTTATTTTGTTCTGTTTCATTATCAGCAGCATTGCAGGCTAAAAACGAATAGCTTAATATTTTCAAAATACTGAGGTAAAAGGGAAGAACCCTGACCTTAGATTTTATAGCCAGCCCAACTGTAAGCAAAAAAATGAGTTCTGATAATAAATATTTTCAGATTTATATGCTGCTTGCAAGGTCAAGTAATTCGAATCTACCAGTTGCTCCGAGGGAGAAAGATGAAGGTGTGTGCTCCTATAAAAATGTATAGTCTCAGAAACCCTATACAGGGTTGCTATGAGTCAGAACAACAACATATATCTGAGAATCCCTGGTGGCTTGTTGGTATAGCACTAGAGTACTAACCATAAGGTGGGCAGTTCAAACCCACCAGCCGCTGTAAGGAAGAAAGATGAGATTGTCTGCTTCTCAATATTTACAGCCTCGAAAACCCTATATAGGGTCACTATGAGTTAGCAGTGGGGCTATGTAGTTTCATTTTTTGGTTTTCTAGCTAAGAGAGAGATTACATCCCAAAACAGGAGAATATGCATTTTTTTTCTTGCATGTAGAAAACATTTACAAAACTTGAACAGGTATGTATACCATAAAGAAAGCCTCAACGAATTTGCTGATACGTTGTTGTTGTTAAGTGCCATCGAGGCGATTCTGACTCAATGATCCTATACAGAGTTTTCAAGGAGCAGCTGGTGAGTTTGAACCACCAACTTTGTTGTTCAAACTGGCCTTGCGGTCTAGTGTTTATCTTACAGTGCCACGGGGGGAGGACATGGCATATAATATTTCTCAAGCTTATTAGTCACAGAATTCGTCACCTTTTCTTTCTTCACAAATGCCCGTTCATGTACTGAGGACCTTTCCTTCTCAAACGATTCCATTCCCCTTCTAAACAGTCTTTAGTTTGGCATCTACTGAGGCTTCTTTCTTAACTTCTTGTTATTTACGCACAGGCTTTGGAGGCTTGCAAAGATGCCGGCCTGGTGAAATCCCTTGGAGTGTCCAACTTTAACCGAAGGCAGCTGGAACTCATCCTGAACAAACCAGGACTCAAATACAAGCCTGTTAGCAACCAGGTACAGCTCCCCAGCTTCCATTTGGTGGGAAAATCTACTCATCACTTAACGGACAGAACCCTGGGGTAGAAGTCGGAAAGTCTTGTGGCAGTTCAATCAATCTTGAGACCCTGGACAAGTCATTTGACTTCCCTCAATGTATGTCTCTTAGGAAAAAGTATTTGAAAATTCAAATCCAGGCACAAGTAACCAACATTAAGAAAGGATGGTGTCATGTCAGATTTTAATCTTAGAAACTGTAAAAATGACTTAGCGAGGGCGTCTGACCTCCTTGAACTCCACAAGGGGGAAAGACAATGGAAATCCACAGCCCAAGATTGGCCTTCAGCCTCCATTTGTTTTTCTCAATTCAGACACCAGCAGTCTCTCCCAGGGACCGTACTTGGACCTCTACTGGATCTAATCCTGTGCTTCACTGACCACACACATGATTATGAGGTTTACTAGGGAAGTGACAGGTTACAATTCAAGATCAGAAATGCTAAGAATATACAGTTCTCTGGTCAGGTCTCAGCCATACCAACAGGCACATCTGTCTCTCTCTGGCCCTCAGCCCCTGGGCATCTTGGCTTGACCTCTGCCCTGCTACGGTAATGTTACAAAGCGCTTTAGCTCCACCCACAAGTGCCCAGAGCACCCCACTCTACCAGTAAGCCTTGGCCGGAAGGCTCTCAGTTCTCTTGGTCCGTGGGTGGCAAAACCTAGCTCCACCAAGTATGTGGAGGCACCCCTCTCTGCCCACGAGCCTCCTGTGGATCGGGCAGTGTGATTCCTATAGACTTACTACTGTGCTGTCTCTGGATTCTGCTGCCTCTGCTGCTGCTGGCTGTTTCTTTGCCACAGCTCCTCAGCACCTCTTACCATCTCTGGTGATAAATCTCTCTTGCTGCCTCCTGGATCTAGCAGGTTCTCAGCACAGGGACTTTGGCTCCAAAGGACACACTGCACTCTTATCTCTTTTAGCTGCCACTAGCTACCTCAGGGATTGCAAAATGAACCAATTTCATCAGTAGAGTTCCATACACCTTATTTGCATGGTCCCACACCCACAAGGGTGCCATGACCTTATTTGTATTGTTGTTGTGGCTAAGTGTTGTCAAAGTCAATTCTAACTCCTAGCAATCCTGTACAGAGTTTCTGAGGAGCAGCTGGTGAGTTTGCCCAATCTCTTTGATTGTGTAACAAATTAGCACAAAACTTGTGTGTATTTTTTAAGATAATATTCCATGGAAGCAAGTGATGCTGGGTATGCAATGGACTCAAGCTTATTAGAAAGCAGTTTGGCAATATGTATCAAGAGCATGAAAAATATACACAGTCTTCTGTTTCTGAGATCTGTTCAGGAGCTATAGAATAAGCACTAGACTGGTAACCTAAAGGCCAGCCAGTTCAAACCCATCAGCTGCTCCTCAGAAAACTCACACAGAGTCGCTGTGGGTCAGAACCAACTTGACAGCACTTTAAGAATTCTGAAGAAATAAAATCAAGATGCCCAGGAAGACATATATGGATTATTCAGCATTATTTACAAAGGTTAAAATAAATTTTAAAAAAAGCCAATAACATATGTATGAAAAAATTAGGGGAATAGTTAAATAAACTAAGAGGCATTCATATTATGTGATACTTTAATAAAAGATGTTTCTGAATCCTTTTTGAGGAAAAGGGAAATGACTGTGATATTAAGAGAGGAAAACCAGGATATAAAATGTAGTAAATAGAATACCGATGAAATCTACAAAACACCTCTAACCCGAGGAACCTGGAGGACATCAGACTAAGTGAACTAAGTCAGTCACAAAATGACAAATATCACATGCGAGCACTATAGTAAAAACTCAAGAAAAGGGTTTTACACAAAAAGAAATACTCTCTGGTGGTTACCAGGGATGGGAGGGCCAGGAAGGGTAATTACTAACAGACACATACATATTCACTTGAGTAAAGGGGAAGGCAATATACAATAAGGGGAAAGCCAGCAATAAAGAAACAACCATGTAATATACAGAATGAACGTGATTACATTTTCTTAAATGTGTATAGAAAAGCACATAAAAAGAAATATATCAAAAAGCTCTTAGTGATTATCTCTGAGGTATGAATTTACCAGTGAATTTTGTTTTCTTCTTGGTGCTTTTCTGGATTTTTCACATCTTCTGCAGAGAGTATGTTTTTAGTCACAACAAAGCATCATTTTCCATCTTGCTAAATGCAGGTAATGGTAGTCTCATTATCCTACTTCACAAGATGGTATGAAACGACACTAAAATACGCTTTTGGATTCGGTACTATTCAAATACTGGAATTGCAGTTGTGTGGTTGATTCTTTTGGATAACTGAGAAGAGTTTGGTATGTTCTCATACAAAAAGAATGACTTATTACTCATGCCATAATAGCCCTAAAATAGCAGTGCTGCTACATTTTAGAAGGGATATTTCTACATGCTCTCAGGAACAGAAAAAGAAAGCCACCTAGGACCTTCTGAAAGGTCTCAACCCACCACTTAGTTACTACCCTGTTCCTCACCAGCATCTCCTTCTCACATCCCAAGTACATCCCATTATGAAAATGTGGAGAAGACAAATGTGCTTCTCCTTACAATTACACAGAGAGCCCTGGTGATCTTTGACCACGTGTGAGGAGACGCTCTGATCAGTTTGACACAGGAATATTGATCAGTTTCACAAATAACTCAGAGGAAGCAGGCTTGTAGGAGGGTTGTGGCCTGCTTATCCAAACACTCATGGTGTCTGAGACAGAAAATGTCAGTGCTCAGATCAAAGAAGGTCTCCCTGACCCAACCATCACCTACACGAGGGCTCTATCTTCTGCAAGTCTGATCGTTTTCATGCCTTCAACGCATGTTCATCAAGCACCTTCTTTATGTTAAGACCTTTGTTTAGCTCTAGGGATCCAAAGGTGACCCAAGGCTGGGGTAGCCCCTGCTCTGGTGGCCCTCGCTGTGCATGGGAGCAGACATGCACCCAACAATCACCAAGGTCCTTTGTCATCAGAGACAGAGATGATCTGTTATCTACAAAAAGAAGAGCCTTGTTTTACGTGGTCATGTCCACTTGGATGGAATTAACCTAACCCTCTCCCCCACCTCAAACTACCACCCCCTGTTCCATCAGAATTTTCAATGGACTCAAATATGTCAGTGATCATGGACTGGAGCAGACCAGACAATGGAGCATGTCCTAGAATTTCTATCTCAGAGCTCTCTGTGCAGACCCACTTTGATACAAATTCAAAAGTCTTTGTCACGGACCTTGTCTAGTATGTTGCCCCATACAGCTCCCTGAAAATCAGTCACAGAATTAATATTCACATACTTGTTTGCTCCATTTTAAATTTCATTAGAATTAGTATGCATAACTTTTGCTACAAACCATGTAAACATTTTTTTCAAAGGATAGGTTAAAAGATGACATGTGTAATGTGTGCATATACGTATACACACACACACACACACACACACA